AAGATGCTGGCGAATGTCGGTGGCTTGGGGCTATTCATGAAAGCGGTGAACGCGCGGAGAGGATGATGGTCGCCGGAAAATTTGCCGACACGGCGGCGAACAGATTTCAGGTGACGAACTCTTTTTTTTTTTAACTGAACGCTGTGAAAGAGATGAAGTGAACAGAAGCAATATATGAAACGATGGAGAATAAACTCCTCAGCCTGAGTAAAGTAAACAAGAGGGATGAGGAGCGAACGTGGAGGAGGATTTAGCCAAAAAAATCGCGACAGATTTTCAAGTTGGAGAAGGACTTGTTCAAATCGCACGTGAGGGAGAAGAGAAGAGGGTCGCTCTATTCAATTCTAACAGGCCAAGGGGTTTAATCAACTTGGGCTGAAATCATTTAATATATTGGGCCAGGATTTAATAACAAAAGGGCTGGAAAATAAATTTGTTTGGGCTTAAATAAACAACATAGTACATGGACTGGAATTTCACAAAAATTGGGTCAAAAATAATATAATCGAGCTGAAAAAATATATCCCGATAAAATGGGCCGAAGGAATATGACGCGATAACAAGAATTCCCGATCGATTCGATTGAGTATAATCTTATTGAGTATACGAGCATAGTACTTAGTATATTTGTTTATATTTTTATGTAGCTTGCAGATATAGCTACCCAAGAGAAACACTTACATTTTTCAAAAGTTTTCAAAAGGAGAAAGGTGGGGACCCAGACTGGGTATTACATCGAGTATAATATTGATATCATGTTCGAGGTATGTATACAGTTTAAGTTTATATGCTTGGGATGAGGAGGCATTCAAGTTATCTAAAAGTATATCCTAAGTTCTGATGGAGGCCGCTTGAGTTGCCTTGAGAAATATCCATCAGATTGTGCACAAGTATCCGATCAGATATCGGCCAGATTCAGTTTAAGTTACTGGAATAGATTTTCAGTCCAGATATATACCAAAGATCATGATATTGTATTATTATTGCTGTTTACTTTAGTATGGGTGTTTTTCAGAATACAAGAGGATCAGTACGCACCCCCATTGTGTTTTTCAGATAACAGGGTCGGGATGGAGGTGTGAGCTGAGCAGTGGTAGTGGTGGTGGTGGTCGTGCACTTATTTCAAGTGGACAATTATTAAGTATTTGATCTGTCTGTATAATAAACCACTTTTTTAAGTATTTCCGCTATGCACATTAAGTATTGAACTTGCATTTCAGATTTCAAGTTTTTACCATTTCGAGAAGTATGAATATGGTACAGTTAAATGCAAGTTTAAAGGAAATCTGTTTTCTTTATGTCTAAAGAAGTATTAGACAAAAGTTAAAAGATAAATAGATTTTCAAGAAGATGAGTTTGAGTAGCATCCCGAGTTAGTCGCAAAAGATTTCGAAAGATTTATAAGTATTTTCGAAGTAAAAGTTGCGGAAAATTTACTCTGATGAGCGGGGTGTTACAACAGCCGACAAGTTTAGGTCGGTACGAGTAATCACCTGTGTGAAGGCCAACGTGTCGTTGATTCAAGTTCTGGTGGGACCCAAGTATGTTCATTATCCCATCAGGGTGTGCACATGATTATCGGCCAATGTGTTCGAAAGCTAGTAAGAACTCAGTTATATGCATATATGCCAATTTCATGATATTGTGATTATTATTGTTGCTTACTTTAGTACTGGTTTCTGCGGAGCACCGTGGTTCTTGTGCTCACTCCCCACTATTTATCATTTTTCAGGAGTTGGAGTCGAGCGTGCTGGCTGAGCAATGGTGGATGTGGTCAGGCGCCACTCGACTAATAAAGGATATTCACATGTTTGTACTAAATAATGAAACTTGTTGAACCATGTTTAAGTTTCCGCTGTTTTAAGTTTATGTTGTCAAATAATACATGCTACATTTAAATGAATCTAGTATTTCTATATTACCATCTATCGCAAGTGTGATCTAGGTTGTTATTGTATAATGATTTGATGATGGAGTTTTCTTTATGCCCTAAGTCAGCATCTTACGCCCAGTTTAAAGAAAAACGGTTTTTCAAAAAAGAAAAAGGTAACATCCCGAGATAAGCAAAGTACTTTCGAAAATTTTATCAGTATTTTTCGAAAAGAAAAAATTTTACTTTGATATTTCAAGCATTAAAAAGCGGGGTGTGAAAATTGGTATCAGAGCGTAGTTTGCGTTTCTGAACACTTGGAAAAATATCCATGAAGTTACAACCACACCACGCTCATGTCGCGCTGACTTCGAGGTAAGTAATAAAGTAAGTTTTTCATACTAGCCAGTATATTATCAGTATTGTATGAGAACTCTAGACCGTACAACTAGATAATTGGTCTGTAAATATGTAAAGTATCAAGTAACTAGTGCCCTATTAGCCATGCTACTTAACTCTTCTAATGAAATGACAATTTAGCTGCCGAATCGCAGGGCTCGAGAACCAGTGGAACAGAGGTCGTACAGTCATGGACAATTACCCAATTCTGTGGGTTTCAGCCTGACAAGTTCAATGGTCAGGGCGATCCAAGAGTTGTGGATGAATGGCTACGCAGTCTTGAGATGTTTTTCAGGGCAATGGGATGCCCCGAGCAGCATCACATTCTTTGTGCCCAGTTCCAAATGACTGGGGATGCTAGCCTCTGGTAGTTAGAATACTGGGACATAAGGCCCGATGAGAAATTAGGCCTAACTTGGACTTATTTAAATGAAATTTTGTGCGAGAAGTACTATCCAGCCCATTATAGGGCACAGATGGAGCGACAATTCTTTACCCTGGGGCAAAACAATATGACCGTGGACGAATATGAACGACAGTTCACTCGCCTTGGATTTTTTGTGCCCTATTTGATAGACACGGAGGAGAAAAGGTCCATGTTCTGTAATGACGGGTTGCGTGATAGCATCCGCCACCATCTCTCTGGATTGGGTACTTTAACTTATGCTGAGACAGTTAACCGGGATCAGCAGGTTGAAGCCAACCTTCAGAGAGAGGCCAACTGTATTCGTGCACCAGTCATGCCACTAGCAGCATTACCACCAACTCCGCATGCACCTAACCAGAAGCCCAATAACAAGAATAGGAAGTGATAGAATCGCCATGATGACAAAAGAAATCGTCAAAGGGGGCCACGTCAGGCAGCCCAACAGCAGACACAATCGATGCCGGCTTGCAGTAGTTCTGGAAAGAACACCGAGGGGAGTGTTTAGCTGGACAGGATGTCTGCTACAGCTGCCGAAGGCGGGTCATACGACTCGTACATGCCCAGATCGAGTTCAAAATCAGCAAGGTAGCACCAGCAGCCCCAAAACCAGCAGCAAGGAGCACAGGCCCATGTCTATGCATTCAACCAGGTAGAGGTGAATGAGCAACCAGGTACCATGCCTAGAACGATTTCATTTCATGATATGCCTATCTTTGCATTGTTTGACACTTGGGAGACTCATTCATTTGTCGCGGATATATGCTTAAAGGCCGAGGGAATACAAAAATTTCACGTTGTCGACCCCCTTGAGGTCAGACTAGCCTTAGGGAGAAAGATAGTAACGAACCTATTGGCCGAGAACCTTAACATTGGTATCGGCGGCAGACTTTAGTTGCTAACAATTATATGATCGAGATAAATGATTTTGATCTCATCTTCGACATAAGCTGGTTAGCATAGTAACTAGGCTAAGTTAGCATGATGTTAAAGTTACAATGCAGTTGCCATCACTGAAATTCAGATAATTATGAATTATCGAATTTTAGTGGAAATTTAAGGAATCACTTTAATTATTTAGGATCAAAAGGAAAAACAGACAACAGGAAGAAAAGCCTCAATATTGCATCACATAACCCAAAGAAGGGTGCGTCTCGAGAGTCTAGTACTCTGTAACTCTGCCACCCATAATAATGTTCTGGGTTCACAATGAAAGATCTACCGAGTCACAAGCTCGTTTTCGCTTAATCCCTTGAGCTTCCACAGAGTCTTGGAAGTTGATGCTCTCTTGAAGTTTCTTGATAAGTTCAGCTGTAGTATCTGCAAATTTGAAGATATCTCTAGTTGAAGCTGATATAAACCTTTATCTAGAAATTCGAGAAAATCCTGGAAAAAGTTATGAAAATTCAAAAGACCTACGGGTTTGTTATGCAGTTTCATATCTGCCCAAGAAGCAACATTAAACAGTCATCAAGGTTCCATATCCACCAGGAAGAACAATAAATGCATCAAAATTGTTCACCATATAAATCATGTAATCAGAGAGTATGAATTAACATCAAACTTAAGGAATCTTCGACGACCTTGGTAGACGCTCTGTGGAAAGGTATGACACTTTTCACTTCTATATTGGTTCATCTCCCAGCTAGGAGCAGGCTATCAAAGAAAGTGATGCTAGTACCTCCATACAATATATTGATCTTTTGAATTCCTAACTCCCTTACTAGTTGGGATACAATATCAATGCTTTGAGCAGAAGAATCTATAAGTTTAGAACCACCAAGAACACATATGGTTTTTAGTGGTTGAAGAGATTTAATTTCGTGAGAGGACTCAGCAATCTCCATTGAGTTAGGAGAGATATTTAGTTATGAAGAAAGACTCGCTATTTAAAGAAAAAGTTATGTGAACCAATAAATATTATATCGTGTCATTCTGACACTAGCGATTGACAGATAAGGAGTGGAATTTTAAATGATTCTCACCTGTCAGCAGAGATAAGATTTTCAGTATAGTACTTCTTAATAAATGTACTAACCAGATCAATTGTTGCAAACAGGATCTTTAGCGTCAATATTTTTTAGACTATAGCGCTCCGATTCATTTTTAAATAGCTCCCACAGCGAGATCAACTCATGATGAACATAACCACTAGGATGTGCATCAAGAATCTGTTGAATCGTTTGATCCAATGATTCCTTAAGCCATCATTTATAAATGCTATTTTATCTTCTAGACTTTTGGACAAGAACCCCATAGATTTACATCGTGTGTCACAAGTCCATCGAGCGCATTTAAAGCAGCCACCTAATCATTTGCCTTCCTTTTCTTAGCAAAATTACTTTTACCCATGCCTGGCATATATCGGTAAGAATTTGGGAACTCACCAGACAACCGAACTTTTTCTTCGATCAAACATCGGATATCAGTTGGAATACCATGGATCCTTAGCACCCTCAATCGTTCTAAGCGAGAATTATATATCCTTTTTAGGATATTTAGTGGAAGAAAGGAATAGAATTCTCAAATATTTGAGAATGCTAAATCCATTGGTAAAATCGGACCATGGCTTGAGGAGAACCGACGAAATTACCAATTAGTTTATATTAAGATGAAGCGTATAAGATACGACTCAATTTAAGAATATATTTGTCAAAAGGTAGGACACGTATGAGGAGAGGATCTATTTTTGGAGCAGTTGGATTGTCATAATCCATAATTAAATGCATTTATGGCAGTAGTTGGAAGAGTGGATAAGAGCATCCTCTGAATACTAGTGGACCAGTTGACTAAATCCAAGCAAAAGTACTTCGTCTTATTTTATGTAGCTTGTTTCCGAACTCAAAGCTTAGATTAGTATTTTCGTGGACAGAAATAGTTTAAGGGGGGTAGATTGTGATACCCCAGTATTTTATTAATAATAGAGCGACTTTAGCTTCAGAGTGTATGCTAATCTTTATTAATAAATGCTCGATTGTAACTTCTGAGTGTAAGAAATTTAATTCTTAAGTTGCAAGTTCAAGTTTAAATCAAGAATTATTCGAATTAGATTTTATCTCAAAGCCAAATGTTTCTTTTAGTTCTAGTCTCGATTCATTTATCGTTCATGAGCCGAGAATAATTAGTATGAGTCGCGATAAGGATAGAGTCCAAGTGTATTCGAACGATTATAGAAAAACGAGCCTCGACCGAAAGCCGAGTCAAGCTCGGCCGAGACACAGCCCGAGAGATCCCATCGCGCCCAGCATCCGTTGTAGCCTGCTCCCGCATGCGTGGCCCGCAGAGCAGCCCAAGTCACGACCCAGCACCTCACTCAACCCAACATTTTGTGCAGCCATGGCCCAACACTTTAGTTTGGTTAGTAAGCCCTCAGCCATCGGCCCAATATCCGTTGCAACCTGCTTCCGCGCACTAGGCCTGCAGCGAAGCCCAGCACGGTCCCCCAGTGCAGCCAGCGCGGCCTGCCCGCGCAGCCCAGTACTCGGCCCAACGTGTAATAGCCTAGTTCTGTATTAATAAAAACGACAGTTATTAGTTCCAAGTTGAACTATTTCTTTTTATTAATACTGCTCGTCTTGGGTTCCGAGCCCAGTTATCAACTATTCAATCTCAGTTATTAATTCCGGTCCATTTATTTTAGCAATGGATTTTATTCAGTCGGAATTACTTATTTCAATTGACGAATAATTGGAACCGAGTATGTTTCGATAAATCGTCCAAGCCTAGCCCTATCCGGAACCGAGTATGTTCAGTCGCGAGTATCGCACCTAGTTGCGCCCAGTCGAGTCTCGTGCCCTAGCTGTGCCGAGTTTTGTTCGAGCCCTAGTTGTGCTCCTAGCCTTACATAGAATATTTTCTAAGTATGAGTCGATCATTTTATCGAGCCCTAGATCAAGCCACTCGGTCGAGAAGAACCCCACACCAAGCTTGTGCAATGGTTCGAGTCCCCGCGCGCGAGGGTTATGCGCCTCGCCCAAGTGTGCAAGTCTAGCTGTGCCGAGTTGACCCAAGTCATGGCCGAGCCTCACGGGATATTTTTCTTAAGTGTTCTTGTGGCTTTAGGTCCAGCAACAGCCAAGGGTTGGCCTCGGTCCAAGTGGTGCCGAGCCCAAGCGAGGGCCGCCCAAGTGCCGTGCCCATTGCCATTGCCGAGCTTTGGCCCAAGTCGTGGCCAAAGTTTTCATGGCATTTTTCCTAAGTATTTTGGCCTTAAGATCAGCCATCAATTCAGCTCTAAGTGGGTAGCATACTCGGCCCAAGAAATGGCACTATTATCCCATGCGCGAGTGCCGCGCCCAGCCCAGCCGTGCCGCGCCTAGCCCACTTGCGAGTGGCTTCCAAGCCCAAGTGATGTTTAATTCTGAGTCCAATCCTTTGGCCCAAGTCATGCGGTTATTCAGGTAGATTAAGGGAGTGTTTTGAGCTTAAGACATCCTTAATTATGTTTAAGGAAAGTCAAAGAGGGTTAAGGGTTAAGTGGAGGATGGGCATGAGGATTATTTTATTCCATGTTTAAGGGAATGTCTCCTCCACAACCTAGTGCCCTGCCAGCCTTGTCTCCCACCTGTTTTTTGCCTCGGTCAGACCCATGCAGCTGCTGCCAGACTGTAACGCCCCAAAACAGTAATAATATTCAGAACGGTTTCACTGCTCGACTATAAGTGAAATCCGTAATTTTTAGAAATTATCGAGTTATATTATTTATGTTAAATGCTCAAACATGATAAATTATTCTTTGAATAATTCTATCTCAAGTATAAGTTAAGATTAATCCATTAAATTGGGTTGGTAAATAATAGCAAGTCAATTCAAGAGTTGATCGACTCTAAACCCTAGTTTGGTTCCGAGTTAATTTTCGGGTAAATCCCGGGCATAGCCAAGTATTGGTATTTTTATACTTAGAATATTTTTCTAAGTGTATAAAAATATCAAAGTATAAGAATTGATTATTTTTAAAAATCGAGCCCTAGCCGAGCCAAGGCTCATTTTAACTTATTCCATTTCTAAGTCTTAGTCATATGTGTATATTGAAAGATATTAGATGTATTTTAATCCTAAGCCATGCATAAGAATGTTTTATCAAGTCAAGACTTCATTAAGCCATACTTTATTCTTAATCTAGTAGCATGAACCATTTTGTTCTAACATATTAATTCCCTCTGAGTATGCTGGCCTAATGCGTGCAATCATGTGGGAAATTAGAAATTTTTTTATAAGCTTAATCAAGCTAAGGGTGAGTCATTAGGTGCTAAGCTAGATTAACTAATAGTTTATGCCTTAATGTGGTTGAGTGCCTAGTATTTTTAATCAAGTGTGTAAGGTTTGGTCTTCCATTTCTTTAGTGCTCGTCCATAGCATAGGATCAGACCCTTAGTGCCCCAATATTCCTCCACTAACACATGCTAAGGCATCTTTGACCATCTTGGGAAGGGAAGTTGAGCACTTTGCACCCCACTCGGTTTTCCACTTCATTTTAGCCTTGGTTGACAAACTTTTGGAGCTCTTTATATAGTTTTGCCTTGGCTGACGATATTCCATTTCTCCTCACTTGTTATTTCGTTCAAGCACACCTCAAAACACTTAGAGCTATAATAAAAACCGAGAGCCATCATCCTCATTGCCGTGAGTTCTTCTTGTAGACTTTGAGAGTTTTAGAGTTATTAAAGTGGAGTTTGGTGAGTATCAGCAAGATAACCTCATTTCCCACACTCAACCTCATTAGACTCTCATTTGACCTCTGATATTTAACACAAGAATTGCCATAAGTCCTCCTTCGAACCCAAAAACCAAGAGTGAATATATGAGAGCAAGTGAAATCCCAAAATCGAACGTCGTGATTTCCCAAGAATGTGAAGAACAAGAATCCTTAGTCTTCGCCGCAAAGTTGATTTTGATCTTCTTTACGCCGGTCTTGAATTTAATAACGCAGTTCGGAGGCTTGGCAGCTTGTTTCCGGATTGGACGTCAGTTTTGAGCTTGAATCTTCCTTCGGATCTTCAAGAACGCATTTGAATCTTGAAGAACACTTGAATCTCGTTGAGAGAATTCTCTAGAGCTCTTGAACTTGAAACTTGAATAATGAATATGAATTGTGTTTTTGACCTCAGGGAGATCCCCTTTTTATAGGTGTTAGGAGAGAGCGTTTTGGAAAAGAAGACTTCAATTTGATTGGTCCATAATTTCTAATATTTATTTATTAATAATTATTTAAAGAGATAATTAGGGAATGGAGTCTTGGAAAAGAATACTTCAATTTGATTGATCCATGAACTTTCACATATTTATCTCTTTAATAATTATTAAAAGAAATAATTATTTATTTTACTCTCCAAGAAAATGACATGTGGCATTCTTTAATTGGCCAACAATATATATTAAATAATCAATTAATTAACTATTTAATTTCAGAATTAAAATTTCATTAATTTCTCAAATAAAATAGAAAATTATTAAATTGATTTTAACATAGAATTTGACACTTGTCGCCATTTTATTGGCTCAAAATTTAATTGTCTACACCCGAAATTCGAGAATTTTGTAGGAGGTACATATCATTTGGTAAAGAAGTGTTCAATAATATATAGATTTTATTTTCATTATATTTAATAATTAGTAATGGCATGATCTTTCCTTTATTATATAATTTGAATTTTAATTCAAAATTGCATTTTAAAAGGGACGGAAATAATAAAGCCCCGTGCATCGCACGAGTACTGTATTCGTATTATTTAAAAGAGTTGTTACACGAGTTACATGTTATCTATTGTACTAAAATGAAAAGGTCAACCGCAATTTCTAAATCTTAATTGAACAAATCCCACTATTTAAGGGAGCATTTAATGCTGTATGATTTTATGGTAAAAAAAAATTCAAAAAAAATTCTAAAGTGACATGCAATTAATTTTGACGGATTTTTTTGCTTACTATTTTTAATAAATTGTTATTCTTATTATATAGATATAGATTTAGATTTTATTTAGTGATTCACATATTTCTGAAGCAAAAACTAAAATCTCAGAATTAATGCAATCATTATTAACACCATAGTTTTTTGACCCGGATCGGCCCGGCAGGTCGACCAGGGACTCGGTCAACCCGGAGCCAGAACCGGTCCGGGTGGGCTATTTGGACCGGCAACAAATGACCCGATCAAACCCAATCAAAACCCGGCCTTGACCCGTGTAAGTTCGAAAGATTGGCAGTAATCGACAAAGCTTCATCTGCTATCAGGTTCAGACTTCACAAAGATATTTAAGGGAAGTTTATTTTAAATTACTTGGATTAGGTTCTATTACTTCACTTATTGGTCATAACTTATACACGCTTTATTATGGCAGGTCTAATGAAATAGGATCGTGATGCACATTCCATCTATGACTACCTACCAATATGCGCAAGATCATATCAAGCAACATGGACTTTCCATAATATGACATGACTTGGTTGGGAAGCTAGATGAAAAACTTACCATATGAAGGATGAAGATAAAGGTACACCGAGAACACTTTGAGGAGTACTTTTGATATTTTTTTTTCTTTGAAAGATAGTTTTGTGTATCAGGCTTCTGGGATTCATTTTTATTGAGTTATTTTTATAAGTGAGGGTGATCATTGTTGAGAGGAAAAATACAAAGTATTCGAAGGTTCATTCTATTTTTAGTTTGAGGGATTCAAACGTGAAAAACCACAAGGGATTTGTGGTCAGATAAGTAGTAGTGCAATTCATTGTTCAAGTAGAGTGTAGAGGAAGTCTATTCTATAAACCCTTGAAGAATGAGTGAGTTGATTGCATTAATGAAAGAGATCTGAAGGAAGAGTGGGACGCTCTCCTGAAGGTTCAAATTTTGGTTATACTGCTTCCGCAATTTAATTAAATCTTTGTTTTACTCTATTTTGCTTAATTGTGTGTAACTCTGAATACTTGGGATACAAGTATCAAACTTCAATTGGCACCAGAGCGGGTTTTCGTATACCTTGCGAAAGATCTAAGGACGTGTGGATTGGGCAATCATGAATCAGGAAAGTGATCGATGTCTAGGCCTCCGCAATTGGATGGTTCAAATTATTCCTACTGGAAATCAATGATGATGATACTTCTAAGATCTCTGGGAAAAGGTGCTTGGGAAAGTGTTGAAAATGGCTGGGAACATCCAGTCACGGCGGCCGCTCCGGACCAAGGAAAACAATCTTCATCGGCTACTGTACCTAAACCAAAAGACCTCTGGACTGACGCTGAAAAACTGCAAGAAGAAGCGAACTATCGTGTAACACCCCGCTACTTTGTCAGAGTAATTTTTTCGCAAATTATATTTCGAAAAATACTTATAAATTTTTCGAAATCGTTTTAACTTAATTCGGGATGCTACTAAACTTATCTTTCTGAAAATCTGTTTTTCTGAACTTAATCTAACTGCTAGGTTAGACATAAGAAAACAGATTATAAATCTTCAAATCAAATTAACATATAATTCTGAATATCTCAAATTAAATAACATGCCAGTTTGATGAAATGCGTAGCGGAAATATCAAAAGCGTGAAATCATTATGTAGACAAATTTATTTAAAAGTTCATGAATCAAATGTCCGTTTAAAGAAAGTGCATTGAGCCAGATCCACAACCATAACCACCACAGCTTGCTCTCACACCTCTGGTCCGACCCTGTAACCTAAAAAACACAATGGGTTTGAGCACTAGTCCTTTTGTACCCCGAAATCACCCGGACAAAAGTAAACAACAATAATAATACCAACATCATGATCACAGATATATATATATATATATATATATATATATATAACTGAAACTGAATCTCCCGGACACTTGGCCGGTAACTGAACTTATCTCCCGAACACTTGGTCGGTACCGTGTGCACACTCTTATGGAATACTAAGGAAAACTGGCCACCATCAGAACTTAGGGAAGGACAATCTCGGCCTTTACCCTAAGTGGACTGAACTGATATACATACCTTTGACATGATATCAATATTATAATCAATGTAATACCCAGGCTGGGTCCCCACATTTCTTGTTTTGAAATTGCGTAAGTGCTGTGCTGGTAGCTGTCTCGTCAAGCTACATAAAAATATAAACAAATATACTAAGTACTATGTTCGTTATACTCAATAAGATGCTAGGATGCTCTTTTCTATCAGCTAACTTATCCAGATTTAAATGAACACTCTAGGGTTCTTTTAAAATAATATTATGTCAGGACTAATATACTTTAACTGGACTGGTTTGGCTTTGAAAAAAAATCCCAAAATCTCGGAATAGAACTTAGACTGAAAATCTTGAACTAAAACTAACTCGAACCGCCGGCCGAACTGGCCAATTAGTGGACTGGCTTGACCGGACCGAACTGAAATGGACTAAACTGGACCACCGATTCACTATGGACCGGACGTCACTCATGTCTCGTGTTGACCCAGCTCGGTCCCGCACAGGCCAGCTGGTCCCTGGCGCGGCGCTGCTGGCACGGCTGGGTGCGACCGAGGCACTTACTGGCGCTGTGACACGGACCGACACTGCAAGCACTATGGGCGCGGCCAGTGATCGTGACCGAACTTCACCAACCTTTTGGTGACTTCTCTAGGGACAATTGAATTAATCCAACATATTTCAAGGTACTAAACTCAAAAATACAAAGAAACACTGATATACTTCAGTTGGATTTTAAAATGGCTTGATAGGCTAATATGGTGATATGTGAACACTAGGTCACCCAACAAACTTATCTATCTTACATATATGACCAAGGCCGAATATTTACCTATACAAATCATGAGTTTAAAGGCTTGGATATTGGATTTTACTTGCATTCATCTTAAAATGACTCGGTAGTAAAAATATGCTAGATTTCACATGATACTTGACCGAGTAAATGAACTTCAAATATGCTCAAATTTTCCCAACATCAAATACATGATTTATAAGGATTTTTAAGCTATCAACCTCGGCCTAACCATGCTTGTTACTAGAAATCCGAATGTAAGCTCTTACACTTCAAAAATTCGAAACTCTTTATTAAGCATGAACATGACTTGATTTTTTTTCATGATAAATCTTAAAATATCATAATAATTCTAGAAAAATCAAAATTCATGAGATTACCTTCACCGAAATGCTATTTAGGTGATAGGGTCCTTTGCTCGTGCTCGGTTGGGTCTCTAATGTCTTTATGTTAATATAATCACTTTTGCTCGAGAATGATGGGCTAAATACACTTATATTGACCCAAGAAACAATATGGTTTGAGAGGGCCTTGATGAAAAATGACTAGAACTAGCTATAGTTCGAATCGTTTTTCACCCGTGCCTATTTGCTCTCGAAATGGGCTTATTTTGTTGCTCTTGAGCTATCTCTCTTTCTAACCGAGGTATTCTCATGCTTTTAAGCTTTGTTGTGCTCTAAACTCAGGTATGAAGAGGTACTTATAGGCTGGCCCGAGACAATATGCACAATTATGTATAGGTAAGTGGTTAAACCTCCCATATGCATCTTAGTTGTTGCATAGTTGATTTTCATGTCTTTATGCACTTATGCCCGACATTAGATGAGATTTGCCGAACCAAAATGATCCCTGTGTGGTCTCACATGATGTAGGAACGTTCCATAGTCAACTCATAGGTGTAACATGACAAAACTCCAACTAATGGTATTAAAATATTGCAACTAGCACATGTTACACTTGTTGCCACATGTGGTTGACCTCTCTTGCATTTCCACCGAACCAAATAAGCTCAAAACACTCCTAACCTATGTGGTTACACTTGAACATCATATGGTTCGAAGAAAAATGGCCAGAAAATGCACCATTGGCTCCCAAAGTAGGCTGCGCTACACCCGGACGCTGTCTGGGCGCGCTGCTAGGCGCGACACTGCTGCGGACGCATGCAAGGCGTGCTGGCTGTAGTGCCCCGTTTATTTGTGGATTATTTGAGAATTTTTATTATTATTATTATTGATTATTATTATTATTATTGTGATATTATTAATATTATTGCTATTATTAAATGTCCGAATATTATTGCTTGCCAAATTGAAATTAATTGCTAACTGTATATTTTGATTATTAATATTAATATTATTATTTTAAAACAATGTGTAAAATAATATCCGAGTGGTACTTATTTAATCGTGTGATTTAAACCAGCCCGTGAGCCAAACCCGCAAGCCGAACCGACCCGCCCCAAGACCCGATTCTCTCGAATCCCTTGTGTGTGTATGTTACTTGAGGAATAAGAGGAGAACCTAGGTCTATTAATCTTGCGCTCAACTCTCACGATCAATCACTCCCGCAGCTTTTCTTCATCCCACTTTCTCTCTCTCGTTTTCGCTCAGCAGATAAAGGAGAGAACTTTTCTCTCTCGCTCGTCGTGTTCCATTCACCATAAAAATCCGGCCACCATCTCTCCCTCTCGCTCAGAATTCGAGCAGCCGCCAAGAAATCGCCCTCCCCTCTTCCTCTGTTCGCGAATCGATCAGTCCCTAATCGCCGGTATCAACCGCTACCAAGCCCTGTCGACGATTCCACGCCGTGAGCAAGCCCTCGCGAGCCCTTCGCCGGCGTCCTCAAGCATCTCCGCCTCGATCCGACCTCCAGCGACTTCGGGCCTCGAATTCTAGCGACCAGCTCTGTACGGCGACTCGTTCTCGGGGCGTTTTAATCTTCTTTTCACGGGCGACCATCCTCAAACCTCGTCTGACGGCCAAGCAAATTTTCGGCGAGAAGGCGAGCAGCGACCCTCGACCTCCGACGGGGCTGCGACCATCGCGAGTATCAACGTCCACGAGCCGCAATTTTGAACTCCGACCCTGTCTGACGAGCCGCTGCCTTATACAGCAAATTGCGGAAGCCCCCGAGAGTTGATGACCGAAACCAGACGCAAGCCACCGCAACCCGAGCTTTTCCGACAAGGAGCAGCAGCCGCTCGAGGCTCTTATCGAGCAGCCGTCGTTTCATTTTCGATGAACAGCCGCTTTTTCGGGCCCTGGGCAAGAAGAGAAGCTGGTTGACCATTTTGCCGAGAGCCCGAACAGCCTGTTTTCCACGTCCGGTTACCGAACAGCAGCCCGGTACTTGTCGACCGTCTCCAGGGGATGTCTGTCAAGCGAACCAACTCCCCTCTCAGCCGAACAGCCACCAATCGAGAAGTCTCGAGAAGGTAGATGGCTGAACTCTTATGTTTTTAGTGGCTGAGATCCATACCCTCTGTTTTGGTCGAGTTATTGTGTTTTGTGCCTTGGTTGTTGGAGTTAATTCGAAGCATTGAGCATGTACTTATGGGTTGGAAACATGTGTGATTCAGTAGAGAACCAGGTGCATCTTTGAATTATGATATGGCTCCAACAGGTGGTTAATGTTGAGAAAAGGAGATTATATAAGGATGGATGTGTTGTGATTTTGATTCTATTTGATGGATGTGTTGTGATTTTGATTCTATTTGTTGTGTGGTTTATTTCTGTAGTTACTGTACATGTTAGTATGCGGTATTTGATCATTTGTAGAACTTTGTTGTTGGATAAATCGGAATTAGCATGTGACTTAAAATGTGAGAGAAGAAAATGAAGCTAAAATGTATATTGGTGTGACCATGCTGTTACTTTTGGTTTGCCGTCGAAATCATGTGATTATTATTGTTGTTCTTATGCTGATATTATAGCCTTAAATATCAGTTATTATGTGGCTGTGAATGTGTCAAATGTGGGAGAGTAATAATGTAGGAAAGAAGGCACGTTTGTGTGGTTGTTTTTACCTTGTTAATTGCCATTGTTTCATGTGACGAATTTATGTCATCTTCCAGTGACTTTGGCTGAGCTATAAATGTGAGTTTTATGTTGGAGATGATGATTGTTTTAAAAGCCTTAAATCTCAGTTTATAAACCTTAGCAAGTATGTTTATGTTTGAGAAAAAGAAAAGAAAATGAGGCATGTTATGCTTTTGTTTTGACATGATGTTGAGCATGTTAATTTGTTAGCTTTGTGGCGTTATCAAGCATGCTGAGAATATGAAATGTGTAGGCTAGTTTGTTGTTTTAGCTGTGTGCTTTTCCTGGTTATTTGACAATCTTGTTTATGTATTTTGTTTGTTGTTGTTGTGTGGCCCAAACAGTTGAATAAAAAAAAAAACCTTGATAATAGTAAATCCCTAATTTTTAGGTTGAGGAGTCGAGCCCTCGACCTACGTTCTTCAGCTTGTGTGCTATCTCTTCCGTTGATTCCAGGTGGGTACATTTATGATGTATTCCATATTTATCGCACTCATTACTTCGTGTAATGTTTTCTTTTGAAAATTTTTGTATGCATGAGAACTCTAGTCTAAGTGTCCCGAACGCTAGTGCTTTGATGAATGCGAAAGCAGTAGGAGGTCGCCTGCCCGTTGTATCCGGGAGGGACGCCCCATGCCGTCGTATCCGGAAGGGGAAAAACATCTTTGTTGTCTCCTGGAAAGGATCCTACGAACCGTTGTACCCGGGGGTGGGAAACTTTCCAGTTACAGCCATGCCGTTGTATCCGGAAGGTTGTTGTATGTACATAGGAGGTTTGCGATAGGGCTGGGTAGGGGGTTTAGGCTATGAATTCTGTGCATACCAATACTGATACTGTTTTACCATGATACTGCTTTTAAAAAATAATTATACGGGATAACTGTGCGATAATGGTGAGCTAGTTGGTTGCTCACCCCCATTATTTTCTTTGTTGTCTTCTCTCTCTTCCTTTGTTCTAGGTTGAGGCGAGCTGGAGGCGGTGGCGTAGGACGAGCGAGATGGTGGTCACTGTTTGATGATATCTTATGCTTCCGCATGAACTTGTTGCTTATTTATTTGCTTTCAAATACTTTGGATTATTTATTTATTCGCCTTCGAACTATGTTTGAGTTTTGTTTGAACCTTGATTCATGCTAGACGTTTGGGAATGATTTTGAGATTTATGTTTTATGAGATTGTTTATTTTGATAGCTCAGGCATGTGTAGGTTCTTTGGATTGATTGATTGGATGTGTTCAATTGTTGTAGTTAGTAAGTAGCGCCCGTTTCTCGATAAGTGTTTTAATTTGGATTTAAAAGAAAAAAAAAATAATAACTCTGATTTTTATTAAATAAATTCGGTAAATTCTTTAAAATAAAACGGGGCGTTACAGTTTGGTATCAGAGCCAGTCTTACTTTTCTGTAGACTGGTTCATATGTGATTAAGTGTTTAATGACCATTCGACCAGTCGCTTCGTCACGCCGCGCCAGCTCAAGGTATGAGTATTATTGTTTTGATTATTATCGATATCGTGAATATGGTTTGTTCTTTTATTGGGGCTTAGAAATTTACCCTCCGTTTATACGGACTTGAACTCTAGTGGTGAAGAGTTAAGTGCCGACTTTAGAAATGTTTGTTGTGAGTTTTCGGGTTGGTGTTATCGAGTTAAGGTTGGTCTATAGCAGTGCACTCGTTATGAGTTTCTGTTTTGTACTGTCGAGTGAGAATCATTCGTAAGCTATCTCGAAAGTGAAGGCTTAAGTAAAGGGAACAGACAAACGAAGAAGTCCCGAAAGTGTGGATTATTCGGAAGTCTGTGACTATTGTGGCTAGAACTATTAGACGCGTGTAGTACCCGGGCAATGGGAACCGGGAGTGGAGTCTAAGTGTCGGTTTCATGTCGATGATCCGACCACTTGTGCGAATAGATTCGTGGGAATCGGGTTAATGGCTAATTTTACCCTGTTATAATTTGTTCGTTATTATCCGTGTATTTCTCGTTAGTTTGTCTCGGGAAATTCTTCATGGGTATTAGAACTCTGTTGTTGAGTTATTGATACCCTCTTCTTTTGTTATTTTTGGCTGAGTTGTTATCAATAAATTCGAGCCTTGACTTGTCATCCGAATCTTCGTTTCGTAATTTTCGTACGTTTTAAGAGTTGGTTGAAAAACCTCTTTTTGAAAACCTTTCATTGATGGCTGTTTAACCGTTGTTTTGACCCCCTTAAATTTTGATAGGCTTTGAACTCTTCTGATGAGTTAAAGTCCAATCTCATATGTTCCCTCTTGAATAAGAACCATGTGGTTATCTATAGTATACTAGAAGATGTGGCCAAAGTTCTTCGAGAGCGCGTCCAGTTTTTCTGGTTTTTCGATCTTATATGTGATCTGCTTTCATTGTTGTTTTTGGGCCCTGAAACTCCATCGTCTCTTATTGTAATCTCTTGTACATTTTAGATCAGCCTGTTGCCTTTCATGAGGAACAGGAATCGCGTGTTTGTTATTCTCCTTCATGTATCGATAATTGCGCCGGAAACCCAATCGTTGCATATTCAGTTTTTCGTGTAAACCGCAACAGTTGGAGTCTTTTATTTTCGCTATTTTTGGCATGCTTCTGGTAATCTGGGAACCTCGATTTCTTCATATGAATTGTAGTTTTGTCTCTTACGATTCAAACGGCGCAAGATTCATTCAGGGGATGCGTTCAGGATACGAACTTCGTGCAATAAGATTTCTGGAAATTTGCAGCAAATAGTAATGTGCGAGATTGATCCGTTTTCAACCCTTTAACCTACCGTTCACGCCTTTGTTGCCCGAGTGCTTTTCCTTTGTCCTTGATTGCTACCTTTCGCCTAGTAGTCAAGTTTGAATTGTATTTCATGACCCATTTTTATTATTTGATTTTCGTTCCGTGACAAATTCGCTTGATTTTCTTTTCCTTGGGTAGAATTTTGGGATGGAGTTGAGCATCGAATTTCAGTTTCTATTGATTCTTATCTGATATCGAACCGTGTGCAGTAACTTCGCTAAGTCGATGCGAAGGTTAACTTGAGAATACCTTAGCTTCGAGATAGATGGCGATAAATTTTTCTTTCGTGATCTATTATAACTTTGAACCAAAGTGGCGTACGTGAGAATCATCGCATACCTAATCGGGAGGAGCCTCGACACCTTTCTAGGGATGTTTGTTATAGGAGAATCGTTTAAGGAGGGTAGTCGAGCCAGATGTAAGCACATCGTGCGGTGCAGAGCCGTCTTTGTTTTCAAATTGCGTTCATAGTTAATCTTTGAAAACTCTCGTTCTTTTTCCCTTCGGAGTTTCGAGAGTGATCCTTTGTATTTCTTTGACTTTTTGCAATCCTTTGAAAACTCTTGTTTTTGGTTCGTTTGGAGTTACCACTTCAAGACTTGCAACCTGATGTATTGATTAAGACGAGCACTTTCGTTTTTCCGCTTGTCTTAAATCGTTCCTTCGTTTTTTGGTGATGCCATTCGGCCTGGTACTCCATTCGTACCCAGATCGGACTGTCGTGTTTTTATCGTTGATGTCCTATGTTCGAGACGCGATAGAAGCGAATCAACCAAGGAAGCTTTGTGATGAGATCCAGAAGCATGAAAATCTTAGCAGCTTAGCATTTGAGCTCGTTTAGGACTACCGGCACGTTTAGCTACCGGTGAAAGAGCTGACGTGACGGCCGACACTGTTAGTCGGAAGAGTCATGCGAGCTGATCATTTTCATTGTTCGACAATGACCACTGAGTTGGGGATGATTCCTAGCTGAGGATGCCGATGATCGTCTTCCTTAGGAGATTCCTCCGTAACTCTAATATATGTTATCCGCTTGAAGTTGTATGGTTCGGGGAAGGATGTGATGTTTTGGAAGCCCTGAACCATCCGAGTTTGTAAATACCTAAATGCTGGGGGATAATGTCTTTATTGAAACCTAATGTTTCTTTGTTTTGTGAAATCCATTTTCCTTTCGGGTTACCTCAGATAGTGCGAGCCTTGAAATTAGAGTAATTCTTTTCTGTATGTCGAACCGAATGCCGACGCTGACTGGGTGTAGTCACGCGAAGTGGTGGTCGAGCACGCGAGCCTGTGCTGAGAGACGTGAGGCACTGCAGGGCCGATCGTTGACTCGCACGAGAGCTGCAGCCACCATCACCGAACGCAGGAGCTCCCCAAGTCAGTGTGCGGCAAAAACCTTGACCTTGCAGCTGTTCGCTGAACAGATGTACGCGCACGTCCCAGCGCCCCGCTTATGCAGCGCCAGTGTGTGTGACATCTCTCGGGTGACAGAGCATTAATCCTCGGACTGGCTATGTCCTTTTAGATCGTTATAATGGGATCGTCGAGCATCCCTATTTGAGAGTCAGTTTCTGCGATAGAAATTGTTTACGAATATCTAGTCGATACTTCCTAAACCGCATACGAGCTGTCACTCGTGTCGGCAAGAAATGAGGCTTCGTCAGCGCTATCAAGCAGAACCATGACTTCTGTAGGTGTCAGTGTTGAGTTTGTTGTCTTGTTGTTGCTTTGTTAGCCTTTTGTATGAGATCCCGTGGCAGCCCGTTTGAGACGGATGCACGGACCACATTGGGATCGTGGGCAAGTTGTCAACGTGACCCGGGCACGAGACTGAACTTGGCACCGCATAGAAATCTAAATAGTTATGCATTTTGGACTTGCTGTCGAGACCCTGAGAGACTGGTTGGAGTCTGGTATACTCGATGGGTGTGTCGTGTGGAATTTCTTACCATGGGAAGTACGCTTACAGCGATGGCTATGAGTGACGATCTCGATGGTACCGTACCAGGTGCTGAGTACGAGAAGAGGTGTTGTATGCCTCGAACTCTGTGAAGAGAAGAAGTATCAGCCACATTTGTTGGTCCTTTTGTGATTCTCGACCGAGTCGACGTCTTATCCTGACGGTTGACCCCATCACCGGAGCTTGCAAGAGTGCACGACCTGTTCAGTGCCTCGTGGAGAGGGGACATGTGCATGACTCTAGGCACGAGGCGATCTTTGACGAGCTGCATGTGGGCAGTACCTTACCTTTGATGAGGTACCGGTGACCTACTGGATTGACGAATCCAGCAGGGAGAGCCCGGAAGAGGTACTCGTCAAAGTCCGACGGGGTAACCATGGCTAGTACGGTGTGACTTGGTAGAGTGGGAAGATTCGGACAAAGTATCCGAGTTGAGTGGTTTGAGCTTCTCTCGTGTGTCAGTTGTCCTGTTGGGATGATTTTCTTGGATTTCCGGGGACGGAAATCGTTTAAGGAGGGCAGACTGTAGTGCCCCGTTTATTTGTGGATTATTTGAGAATTATTATTATTATTATTATTGATTATTATTATTATTATTGTGATATTATTAATATTATTGCTATTATTAAATGTCCGAATATTATTGCTTGCCAAATTGAAATTAATTGCTAACTGTATATTTTAATTATTAATATTAATATTATTATTTTAAAACAATGTGTAAAATAATATCCGAGTGGTATTTATTTAATCGTGTGATTTAAACCAGCCCATGAGCCAAACCCGCAAGCCGAACCGACCGGCCCCAAGACCCGGTTCTCTCTAATCACTTGTGTGTGTATGTTACTTGAGGAATAAGAGGAGAACCCTAGGTCTATTAATCTTGCGCTCAACTCTCACGATCAATCACTCCCGCAGCTTTTCTTCATCCCACTTTCTCTCTCTCGTTTTCGCTCAGCAGATAAAGGAGAGAACTTTTCTCTCTCACTCGTCGTGTTCCCTTCACCATAAAAATCCGGCCACCATCTCTCCCTCTCGCTCAATATTTGAGCAGCCGCCAAGAAATCGCCCTCTCTTCCTCTGTTCGCGAATCGACCAGTTCCTAACCGCCGGCATCAACCGTTACCGAGCCCTGCCAACGATTCCACGCCGTGAGCAAGCCCTCACGAGCCCTTCACCGGCGTCCTCAAGCATCTCCGCCTCGATCCGACCTCCGGCGAATTCGGGCCTCGAATTCTAGCGACCAGCTCTATACGGCGACTCGTTCTCGGGGCGTTTTAATCTCCTTTTCACGGGCGACCATCCTCAAACCTCGTCTGACGGCCAAGCAAATTTCCGGCGAGAAGGCGAGCAGCGACCCTCGACCTCCGACGGGGCTGCGACCATCGCGAGTATCAACGTCCACGAGCCGCAATTTTGAACTCCGACCCCGTCTGACGAGCCGCTGCCTTATACAGCAAATTGCGGAAGCCCCCGAGAGTTGATGACCGAAACCAGACGCAAGCCACCGCAACCCGAGCTTTTCCGACAAGGAGCAGCAGCCGCTCGAGGCTCTTATCGAGCAGCCGTCGTTTCATTTCCGATGAACAACCGCTTTTTCGGGCCCTGGGCAAGAAGAGAAGCTGGTTGACCATTTTGCCGAGAGCCCGAACAACCTGTTTTCCACGTCCGGTTACCGAACAGCAGCCCGGGACTTGTCGACCGTCTCCAGGGGATGTCTGTCAAGCGAACCAAGTCCCCTCTCAGCCGAACAGCCACCAATCGAGAAGTCTCGAGAAGGTAGATGGCTGAACTCTTATGTTTTTAATGGCTGAGATCCATACCCTCTGTTTTGGTCGAGTTATTGTGTTTTGTGCGTTGGTTGTTGGAGTTAATTCGAAGCATTGAGCATGTACTTATGGGTTGGAAACATGTGTGATTCAGTAGAGAACCAGGTGCATCTTTGAATTATGATATGGCTCCAACAGGTGGTTCATGTTGAGAAAAGGAGATGATATAAGGATGGATGTGTTGTGATTTTGATTCTATTTGTTGTGTGGTTTATTTCTGTAGTTACTGTACATGTTAGTATGCGGTATTTGATCATTTGTAGAACCTTGTTGTTGGATAAATCGGAATTAGCATGTGACTTAAAATGTGAGAGAAGAAAATGAAGCTAAAATGTATATTGGTGTGACCATGCTGTTACTTTTGGTTTGCCGTCGAAATCATGTGATTATTATTGTTGTTCTTATGCTGATATTATAGCCTTAAATATCAGTTATTATGTGGCTATGAATGTGTCAAATGTGGGAGAGTAATAATGTAGGAAGGAAGACACGTTTGTATGGTTGTTTTTACCTTGTTAATTGCCATTGTTTCATGTGACGAACTTTTGTCATCTTGCAGTGACTTAGGCTGAGCTATAAATGTGAGTTTTATGTTGGAGATGATGATTTTTTAAAAGCCTTAAATCTCAGTTTATAAACCTTATCAAGTATGTTTATGTTTGAGAAAAAGAAAAGAAAATGAGGCATGTTATGCTTTTGTTTTGACATGATGTTGAGCATGTTAATTTGTTAGCTTTGTGGCGTTATCAAGCATGCTGAGAATATGAAATGTGTAGGCTAGTTTGTTGTTTTAGCTGTGTGCTTTTCCTGGTTATTTGACATTCTTGTTTATGTATTTTGTTTGTTGTTGTTGTGTGGCCCAAACAGTGGAGTAAAAAAAAAAAAACCTTAATAATAGTAAATCCCTAATTTTTAGGTTGAGGAGTCGAGCCCTCGACCTACGTTCTTCAGCTTGTGTGCTATCTCTTCCGTTGATTCCAGGTGGGTACATTTATGATGTATTCCATATTTATCGCACTCATTATTTCGTGTAATGTTTTCTTTTGAAAATTTTTGTATGCATGAGAACTCTAGTCTAAGTGTCCCGAACGCTAGTGCCTTGATGAATGCGAAAGCAGTAGGAGGTCGCCTGCCCGTTGTATCCGGGAGGGATGCTCCATGCCGTCGTATCCTGAAGGGGAAAAACATCTCTGCTGTCTCCTGGAAAGGATCCTACGAACCGTTGTACCCGGGGGTGGGAAAGTTTCCATTTACAGCCATGCCGTTGTATCCGGAAGGTTGTTGTATGTACATAGAAGGTTTGCGATAGGGCTGGGTCGGGGGTTTAGGCTATGAATTCTGTGCATACCGATACTGATACTGTTTTACCATGATACTGCGTTTAAAAAATAATTATACGGGATAACTGTGCGATAATGGTGAGCTAGTTGGTTGCTCACCCCCATTATTTTCTTTGTTGTCTTCTCTCTCTTCCTTTGTTCTAGGTTGAGGCGAGCTGGAGGCGGTGGCGTAGGACGAGCGAGATGGTGGTCACTGTTTGATGATATCATATGCTTCTGCATGAACTTGTTGCTTATTTATTTGCTTTCAAATACTTTGGATTATTTATCTATTCGCCTTCGAACTATGTTTGAGTTTTGTTTGAACCTTGATTCATGCTAGACGTTTGGGAATGATTTTGAGATTTATGTTTTATGAGATTGTTTATTTAGATAGCTCAAGCATGTGTAGGTTCTTTGGATTGATTGATTGGATGTGTTCAATTGTTGTAGTTAGTAAGTAGCGCCCGTTTCTCGATAAGTGTTTTAATTTGGATTTAAGAGAAAAAATAAAAAAAAAAATAATAACTCTGATTTTTATTAAATAAATTCGGTAAATTCTTTAAAATAAAATGGGGCGTTACACTGGCCGCAAGGTTTGGCTGCAAGGCGCGGCGCGGCACGGGGTCTGGGCCTGTTGCGCGCGGTCTGGGCACACGGTGCGAGGTCTGCTGGCCCGTGCGTGCTTGCTGCGCGTGAACCACCCTTGAACCAAAACTTTGGCTTAATTATACATCTAAAACACTTAGAAAAATCCCACACAACATAGATTATGATTTAACCCATCTTGGCTCGGTTTGACCTCGGTACTAATGTGCAAGGTGCACATGATCGAACCTTTACCCTTGGCACGGACTATTGGCATTACTGACCTCGGAATGAGACTCGACTTATACTAAGGCTCGATATTATGAACTTTAGCTTGATGACTTAAACACTTAGAAAAATTCTATGTATTTAATACTAAGGCTCAACTATAACTTAGGAATTTCTCGGCACAGCTCGTGACCGAATAAATTTATTCAGTTCACTACTTGTCTTGAACGATTAATCAAAATATACTAGATTTTTATTATTCGTCATCGTATAATTAATCCCATCTATGAATCCAAATAAACGGACCAGAATTAATTAATTTATGAACTGGCTCGATTACTGAAATAATTTAATCGAGAATACTTTTGACTTAAAGTCAAACTTTGAACTGAATTACTCAATAACTGAACTCGGAACTAGGAAAGAGGATTATTAATAAAAGTAAATTAGTTCAAACTTGGAACTAAAATAAATACTTTTATTAATTACTGAATGAGATATTACAATCTACCCCCCTTAAAACTATTTCTGCCCTCGAAAATACTGAAACTGGAGTACATATCAACTGAGTACATATCAGAACTGGAAATCTGGAAAACGAGCCCTAACATCAACTTCTCGCTCTCAAGTGGCATCTGATTCTCCGTGGCGATTCCATTTAATACGAACGAGGGGAATATCTCGATTCCTAAGACGATGAACCTTTCGGTCCAAAACTGATACCGGTTGTTCCTCGTAAGTTAAATCTGGCCGAATTTGAATCTCATTGTGCTCAAGCACATGTTCTGGATCGCTCACGTATGCACGTAACATCGATACGTGAAAAACATTATGCATACTAGACAACTCGGGTGGCAAAGCCAATCGATAGGATACTTCTCCTACTCGTTCCAGAACTTCGAACGGCCCTATATAACGAAGATGCAGCTTTCCTTTCTTCCCAAAACGGACGACACCTCGAATTGGTCGAACTTTCAAGAATACTTTATCTCCGACTTCAAACTGCATCTCTCGTCTATGCTTGTTGGCTGAGGACTTTTGCCGACTTTGAGCAGTTTTAAGCCTTTATCGAATCCAGGCTACTTGCTCAACTGTTTCCTCGATCATCTTCGGACCGAGTACTTGTCTCTCTCCAACATCATCCCAATAAAGGGGTGAACGAAACTTACGACCATAAAGTGCTTCGTAGAGAGCCATCTTAATTGATGCGTGGTAACTGTTATTGTAGGCAAACTCTACTAATGGCAACCACTTCTCCCACTTGGCACCTCTATCCAGAATACACGCTCTGAGCATATCTTCGAGCGTCTGGATCGTTCTTTCGGACTTGCCATCTGTCTCTGGATGATAAGCCGAACTAAACTTTAACTCTGTGCCCATTGCCTCATGTAAACTTTCCCAGAATCTACTGGTAAATCTGGGATCTCGATCTGATATGATAGTAACAGGCACTCCGTGGAGTCTAATAATTCCACGGGTATATACTTTGGCTAACTTTTCCATTGACATTGTCATTGTTACAGGCATAAAGTGTGCGACTTTCGTCAACCTGTCCACTGCTACCCAAATTGCATCATGCTGCTTGGACGACTTAGGTAGTCCTGTAACAAAATCCATGGTCACTTCTTCCCACTTCCATTTAGGGATCTCTATTGGTTGTAACAGGCCTAACGGACTCTTGTGCTCAGCCTTAACCTACTGGCAGATCAGGTACTTCTTCACATAGTCTGCTACATCCCTCTTCATCCCCCTCCACCAAAACGACCTTTTCAAGTCATGATACATCTTGGTGCTTCTGGGGTGAGCTAAATAAGGCGCATTGTGTGCTTCTGTCAAGATCTCCTTTCGCACGGCCTCGACTTTTGGCACAACAATTCTACCTCTGAACTCCAAGGCTCCATATGTGCTTCAATAAAAGCCCTCTGCTACTCCAGCATGGACTTTTTCCTCTATAACTCAAGTGAATCTATCATAGGACTGTTCCTGTCGAATTCTATCTCTCAGCGGGGGCTGAATTCGCATTGAGCTAACACTTCCCAAACTCTCATTAGGAAGTGACTCAACAACCTCTATCTGCATCCGAGCGAACTCTGTTATAAGTTGGTTCTGTAGTGTGATGCAACAAGACAACTCACGGCATCTGCTACAACATTCGCTTTTCCCGGATGGTACTGGATAGTGCAGTCACAATCCTTCACAAGCTCTAACCATCTTCTTTGCCGCATATTGAGCTCTTTCTAGGTGAAGATATACTACAAACTCTTGTGATCAGTGAATATTTCACACCGGCCACCATAGAGATAATGCCTCCAAATCTTGAGTGCATGTACAACTGCTGCCATCTCTAAATCATGAGTTGGATAATTCTGCTCATGCGGATATTTCACACCCAGACCCTGCTTCAAAGCATCACTATAGATAGTAAAACCTCTAGTAGGATCTGGAATAATTAACACTGGAGTCGTCGTAAGTCTCTTCTTGAGCTCTTGGAAACTCTCCTCACAACGATTCGTCCACACGAATTTCACAGCTTTTCTCGTCAGATTTGTCAAGGGAAGGGGAATCTTCGAAAACCCCTCTATAAATCTGCGATAATATCCTGCTAACCCGAGGAAACTACGAATCTCAGACGGATTTTCGGGTACTGACCAATTCTGGATTGCTGTAATCTTTGCAAGATCAACCTCTATGCCTTTCTCAGTGATAATGTGGCCTAAAAATGCCACTTTCTTCAGCCAAAACTCACACTTAGAGAACTTGGCTTATAGCTTCTCTCGTCTAAGGGTACTCAGAACAACCCTCAGATGCTTTTCAT